CAGGATGCCACGTACATCATGCAAGTCCTTCATGGGGCTTTGACGAAGCTGGACGGCATCATCAACAACACTGTCGCCGTGAACTTCGAGAAGAAAGGGTGGCAGTTCGGCGAGCCCATCGCTTCGATCCGACATTGGTGCTCGCTTGCAGGTGCTTTCAGCAACAAGTGTGAGGGGATCATCCTGAACGCGATGGCCGCAATCCTAACCAAGCATACCGAAGACACGGCCAAAGCCACGCCTACTTGGTCAGCATGCATCTCAGACGACAACTTCAACGAGACCATGGCCACTCAGATGCTCAAGAATAAGTTGCAGCCACTGGTCTCCAGCCACAACTCCTTACACGATACCTTGAAGGACTTCGCCGACGCCGCTGGCATGCTTGCCATCTGCCCCCGCGTTCAAGATAACGATATCACCAGTGAGGCCGTCGCCGTTGCCCAGACGACAATGAGGAAGGCCACTGAGGCAAGCGTGATCATTCAGGGCGTCGAGTTGCTTTTTGTGTTTCGTCACCGCCCCGAGGGGCCAGACAAGGCGAAGGCCTTCCTGGCCGAGCGGCAGCCTTTGCACCCCACGCTGCCGCGCGCGTTTTGGCAGCAGTTTTCAGACTTGCACGCCCACGCTGTGAGTCCAAGTACGTCGCCTTTCAAGGCGCCTGGTGCTCCCCCCCCCTGCTTCAGTCACAAGCGTTGCCACGAAGACCCCCGCAAAGTCGGAGGGATCGCCGCTCGAGGAACTCGTCACGCCAGCCCCGAAGAAGTATCAGCATGGCAGCGAGTCCAGCGGCAGCGCTTGTGGCAAGGTGAAAGGTTCCAGTTCCAGTGCCCTGCCGTCGAAGGGCTTCAAGCGCGCCAAGCGCATTTGAGTTTTGAATTTTAGGAAGGGTGGTTGCAACACGCACAGATTCACATCCCTCGAACCCCAAACTTGGAAGATGCAGAAACACATTCAGCACATTGACACACAGCCTTGTTTTGACATAAGCGTGTTAGTGCAATCGCCCGTTAGGTAGGGCTCGATGCATTGTGATGTTGCTGTCTTTAGCTCGGGAGTCGTAATGTATCTGTTTTCAGACCGAGCTAGAACGCTCGGAGTTGAGCCAATTCGTGGATCGAGTTGGAAGCGACACCTGCTCTGAAAAGCGCTCGGTTGCAGACAAAAACTCCCATAACAGGCCAGTGCCGACCCGTGAACTTCAGATCATTGTGTGTTGTGCAATCTCACAGCTCGCGTCCTCTTGACATCATCGTCGCTCCCATTGACTTGGTATCGTTGCGATTCTTGAGCCATGGCTTGATTCGTTTAGGTTTGCACAGGGGGCTTCAGCATGTGAAGGCAATGTTTTGACATGCGTCTTAGCTAGCGTTCCCAATGTAGCGATCAGTGTGTATGTGTTAATGTGGAGGGCTCCTCCTTCTCCTGATGATCTTCGTCGTCGCCCTCCTCCTCCCCCTCCTTCCCTTCATGGCCCTCGTCGTGCTCCGTCTTCTCTTCATTTGCCTTCTCCTCCCCCTCCTCCTTCCTCTTATGAGCCTCTTCCTGATGCGCCTCCCCCTCCTGGAAGGGTCCACCGACTCGCAGACGGCCGAATCTTCTCTCACATCCTTTGTCTATGCATTCCTCTCGGGTCTGATCTACATGCCCTTGCACTCGCTTCGCATGGTCCTCCCACTCTGCCCTGCCAGCGCATCGAACGAACATCTGTGGATTGGGCCGCGAGAGTCGTTCGCCTGATGTAATTCGGCGGCGTGGTCTCGCTTTGCCGCCTTTTCTTGCCAAAGGCGCGGAGACTCCGAGTTGACCGCCGAACCCTGCCCGTCAAGAGCGAGTTGGCGATCCCCCCTGCGTGACCCCCCTGACGGCGATTTCGGTGCCTTCTCCAGAGCTGCCCCCCCAGACGAACCCAAGGTTTCCGAAAGTGCGACCAGTCCATCCAAACTCGCCAGAACTGAGGGGGGCTCTCCAGAGGAGCCGAACGAGTCCCCTCGCCTGGCCAGGAGACGAGGTCCTGGGCAGATGGTCGCTTGGTGGTGCAAAGAGACTCAAGCGCGCCACTGGAGGCGCAAATTCGCTGTGGGCCCCCGCGCGGGAGGTGAGATCGGATGGCTCGGGCCCGATGTCTTGGAACTGTCAGCATATCTGCTGAAGGGCAAGACTCTGGTCCAGATTGAGCTAGGCAGCCTCGCCACTGGGCGCGAAACCATGCGCGCTGTTGAGAGAAGAGATAACCTCGATTGCCCAGGCCACGGAGTGCTCGGCCCGACGGCGGCGGCGGAAGACGCCCCCGCGCACAAAGGCAGACCCGCGGGGCTGGGCAGGCAGAGAGGAAAGGGGAAGGACATGTGCCTCTGGCACGATCAGAAGCAACCTCAAGCGTCGAGCCGAGCGAGAGGCACCGCACGGTGGGGGCGCAAAATCGAAAAGATCCGGGGCCATGGCCCCAAACGTCGGCGCCGGCTGGCATCGTCACCCCTGGTCCTTGTCCGCGTCGCCCTACTTGTGCTTCCACTGGTTGCGATTGGCGACGCATTCCTTGCGCGCCCTTGCGCGCCTTGCGGCGCTCCTTCATCGCCGAAGCCTCCGTTACCAACTCCTGAACGATCCAGTCCTGGAGTTCAGGGGCCACGCACACACTGCCCCGAACGAGGTCAGAACCGAGGAAAAGGTGAGAGTCGACCTCGTACTCGCCGCCAACGGTTCGGCTTGCAGCGATCCTCTCGGACGCGGAACGACCGCCCCAACATCTCGTTTGAAGCCATCTCGGCGATAATGACCTGGCTGTAGCAGGCGGCGGTCTCCAGCGCCATGCAAGCGCGGAGGTGCTCCTCCATTCCGGGCTCTGTCTCTGTCTAGCGGGCCTCCGCCTGCCAGCGGTTGTCCCGAGCGACTGGCGACCCTCCGATGGCGACGGCGAACATACATACCCAGAGGACGGTACGCGGGCCACGGACAAACCAGTCCGCTAAAGGCGCGACCGTGAAGAGGGCCACGGCGAGGTGGAACTTACTGAAGCGCACCCCTTGGACCTCCTGGACCGCCACATGCACGCGGAGGTCGAGGGCGGTCGCAAGCGCTGGCGGGCGCGCCCAGGATGGCGGCTACCCGCTCGGCGGCTACCAGCGCTCCCGGCGGGGCAGCGCTGCGGCCGCACCCACGGCTGGCGCAGCGGGCGCCGCTCGAGCGTCAGGCGGCCCGGCCGGGCCACCGATGGCCGCTGCGAGGGCCGCCATCCATTCCTCAGGCGCGGGCGCAGTTGCCGCCGGAACACCAGGCTTGAAGACCACGACCCGCTGGTGCCACAAGACGGGGTCGGGCATGCTGTAGCGGACCACGAAGAAGTCGCACTCGTCGAGGCCGCCCAGCGAGACGGCGGCGCCGGCACGTGCAGAGTGGGAGCGGTCGCCGACGTTCAGGACACGAGCCGCGCTGGCAGGGGCAGCGCTCGAAAGCGGTGCGCAGGCGACGGCGCGGCGGCACTCCCTATCAAGGGCGGGGCGCGACCCTGCATTCCATTGGGCAGCTTCACGGCGTCGATGATGGTGACCGCGTCTCGTTGCCGTCGTCGTCGTCGTCGGGCGTGAGCACCGTGTAGAGCCCAAAGCCCGACGCCATCACTGAGAGGCAGGGGGGCCAGAGGCCGTCCGCTTCCTGAGGGCGAAGGCTTCCAGCTGCAGCCTTGCCTGCTCAGCCACCGGCTCCACTCCAAGGTCGACGGTCTGCGTAGTCACCTGCGGCGGCGATGGGTCCGGGCGGGCCCGAGCAAGGGGTATCCGGGCCGCGAGGTAGCCAACGATGAAAGGCGCAACCCACCACATAACGTCGTTCAGCGACCCCGAGGCGACCTCTTGCTTCACCACGTCTCCACACTGCACCGAGGGGCACACGGGACAGGCGCAGTTGACGGTCGGACGGCAATCTGGGCACTCCACCTGGCTGGCCCGTGCCACGAGGGCGCTGGAGAAGGCAGATGTGAGTTTGGGCGACCCCGTCAAACAAGTCCTTAGCACCCAAGAGGAGGGGCATGGGGGTCAGAAGAGCCTGAGCCATAAGTCAAGTACGGCACACTCGCAGATCGGCTGTTGTTCTCGTTAGAAGCTGGATATCTGTATATATCTATATATATATATATATAGCAACACTCCTTGTCCAGCAAATACGTGGAAGATTGCTGACACTCGGGCCCCGGGGGGGGGCGCTGGGGGGTCATCAGTTGCTTAACAGGTTCTGGACATTACAAAACCGTGGGTGGCATTGTTCACGACACGATGGGGTTCTGAGGTCCATTCCCTCCGCCGCCCTCCCCGTCCGTCCCCCCTCGCGGAAACTCACACCTGGACCCTTAGAGCTCACATTCCTGCGACAGGTTTCGAGCCTGGTCGTTTTGTGATGGTTCCGGACCCGAAGCCCAGCGAAAACGCAAGGTGTGACAAAAGTTGCAGCGCCACGATCTCAAAGTTTTCTTCCTCGTCCTCCTCCTCCTCCTCCTCCTCCTCATCCTTCTTCCCCCCCCCCCCCCCGTTCCCTCCCTGCTCCCCTCGAAACAATAGGTCGCTGCTCCTCCTCCCCTGACCCCCGACCCCCGACCCCCGACCCCAATATTTGTTCACAACGTCCACCCCCAGAGGTCTCGACACATTCCACGGGACTGTTTCTTCGTCCTGGAATCGTTTCTTGACGGTCCTGGGGCTCGACGTGGGCCCCCAGAGGCCGAAAATGGCGAAACGTCGCCCGTCGTGATGTTGTTCACGACGCGAGGGGCTTTGGGGTGCATTCCTAGACATCCATGCGCTCAAATTTGTTCGATGCGTGCATTTCCGGAAGTCTTGACCACTTCCCTGGCGCTCGTTTGTCGGCCGCAGTCGATCTTGACGGTCCCGGGGCCGAGGGGCGGAGAACCACCGCAGACTGGTCGCTCCGACGTTTTATGGAGCCTCGGACCTTGGGTTCCTGCGCTCCCTCTGCTTCTGCACGTCCTCCTCCTCCTCCTCCTCCTCCTCCCGCTCCTTCCCTCGCTCCGTCCTTTCCGCGCCCTCACACAGCGGGTCGCTGCGGCGCAGCGCGGCACGGCCACTTCATGGCTCGCCGTGGGGCGCGGGCTCCAGGAGCATCGCGCCTGCCTGAGACACCGCGGCCTGGATGGCCTGGGGGGGCGAGGGGGCGAGGAAGAGGAGGAGGAGGAGGAGGAAGAGGATCGAGGAGGAAAAAGAGGAGGGTCGAGGGCGTGGAGGATCGAGGATGAGGAGGACGATCAGGGAGGGCCGAGGAGAAGGAGGAGAAGGAGGAGGATGACAGAGGAGGGGGCGGGGGAGGGAGAGGAGGTTCGAGGAGGACGTGGAGTATCGAGGCGGGGGGGATCGAGGGGGGGGAGGAGGTTCGAGCTCTGGCACCGCCATCAGAGGGCCCTGCGTCCGACGACATTGTGGGTTCAAAGGTCGCGTTGAGCCCAATATGTGCGTCAGAGTCGAAGGCGGCTGGGAGCATGGGCGGACCGTTGCACGTGCTCTGGAGTGCCAGTTTCGCCGGACCTACAAGGGCAAGCGCGACGATGCCAAACAAGGGGCCGCTTCAATTGCGGACGCACCGTGGTGGACGGCACCATGCTGGCCTCTGGAGGCGCTTGATGACTGGGACGATGTAAATAGAACTGGTGATCGCAGTAATCCCACCAGTCCTTTAGGCCAAGGTGGTATAGCGCGATATCTTTTTATCCTCTTCCAAGAACCTCTTCCCCTCCATGAGGTTTACCTCCCCCCTCCCTGAGGTTTTTGCTGAGGCGGGCCGCGACGTGTTAGGGGGCCCCTGTTTCGCCCAAGTATGGCCTCGGCGAGAAGGCCAATATCATTAACCTTATCTAGGTGTTGGACCCGTTTTGGCTGTCTTGCTGGTCCAACCCGAACGGTATGGTCAGAAAGCGCCCGCCATAGAGCTTAGACTTCTAGAAGATTTCTCTGCGCGCGCGTCGCCCCCGGGGGGACGACTCATATAATTCTTTAGTATGTTGGGGTGACGCTCCTGTTTCACTACATGTGTCTCTTCGACCCTTTCCCCGTTAACTCTCATGGGCAGGGTTTAAGAATGGGCTGGTGGGGCTACTTTTAGTCAGCGGCCGCAGGCGAGAGCGCCAGCGGCGAGTCCAGTCAGAGCGGGCCGCGCAAAGACGAATTCACCTAAAGCCGTGGACCGGAGCCTCACGCAGCATCTCGGCGGGCAGGCCGGCGAGTGGAGGGGGGCTGGCTGCAACTGCTGGGAAGCTGCACTGCCAGGGTGCACGCATGCAACGCGTTGCAAGGATGGGCTGGCTGCCAGGGTGGTCGGCTGCCAGGGTCTGCAAGCTGCGGGTGAATTTTTGTGCAGGGGCGCAGGCACCCACGGAACTGCAAGAGTACCAGGGTGGCCCGAGCCAAGTGAACCGACTGCCACGAAATGAATTGTGTAGCCTATGCGCGGCGTAAGCATCAATGGGCTGCAGAATACCAGGGTGGCCGAAGCCAGGTGGACCGTCAGCCATGAACCGCATTGAATGCGAGTGAATTGAGCAGCAGAAGCTGCGGCGCGGCCAAAATGGCGCGTGGGGGCACCACGATGTGGCCAGGCTGGGCAAATCAGAGGGACCCAAGCATTCCAAGGCCTGGCGGGTGCGAGTGGTGGCGCCAGCAAAGTCGCGCACCGGGGCCCCGAAAGGGGCAGCGCGATCCGCGGTCGGCACACCAGGGACGGCGACAAACGCGAACACACGGCGCGAGGGTGGACACCGGCACTGCAGCCGGGGTCGTGGCTGCGGCGTGGTGGAGCCACGAAGGTGCCCAGGCTGAACCACAGGCGCCCGTAGCCCCCACCCGAGAGGGAGGCGAACCGCGATTGGCGCGGTAAAGAGAGGCCAGGACAGGTGGGGGATGGCACCACCGGACTGGCGAGGGAGCCGGGGGCCCAGCCGCGGGGGGGCCACCCCGGCACGGGAGGGCGCCCGGGGGCGCGGGGGAGTGACGCGCCAAGAGCGAAAACAACCACAGCGGGCCGATGGTCGTCGGAGGACAAGTGGGCCACGGCCCCAAACGGCAGTTCACGAGCCAGTATTGCCAGCAGGCCGTTGCCCGTGTCCCAAGGGCGGGGAGCAGCGGAGGCTGGGCGGGGAGTGGAACCAGGGAAGAAGCACTGCCTGCAAGTCCGGCAACGACCACCGCGAGATGCGCGGCGCATTGCGTCTAGCGTGAAACAAACGGGGGCGTTCGGCGCGGGCCCTCGCCCCAGGCCACCACCAACCCGTGATGCCTGTGGACCATACCAGGGGTGGCTAACGGCCACCGCTTGTCAACTGATGACATAAAGCGAGAAACCATTGGCCTAACGGGCCCTGTTTCAGTTGGGAAGACCGATCATATCGAACCACGTTCCTTTCTGGCCAAGCGGGCTGGTGGGGATACGCGAAGCGTGAATCATTTCATTCAGTGAAGCGGAAACCACGGGGACAATGAGATTCGGCCTCATCCTCTCCGAGTCCGCCTCCGCCCCATCTCTTCTTCTTCGCCTTATGCTGGTCGGCCGCGGCCGCGGCAGAACCCTTCCAGCCGAGGCAGCCATGGTCGCAATGGCGTGCCAAAGTTTCTTCCATCGAAGAAGCATTTCAAAAACCATTTCCCGTCCTCCATTCCCTCTTGCCCCCCCGGCTGGGAAAATCCGCTCCTGACGGGTAACCGTGTGCTCGCAGAGTTCGCGATCAACCTCCTCCTCCTCCTCCTCTCCCTCTCCCATCCCCTTCTCCCATACCCATCCTCCCCGCCCTCGTCCGACGTCATTAGGGCCCTCAATTCCTACTCTGCCTCCTTCTGCCCCTTCTCCCCCTCGCCACCCTCCTCATCCTCGTCCTCGGCCTCCCCGGCTTCTCCTCCACCTCCTCCCCCTCCTCCTCCTCCCCCTCCTCCGCCGCCTCACCTGCCACATCCTCCACCCTCCGTTTAAGCTGTCTCGAGGCCTCTCAGTAGCCGACGCGGTCGCACTATCCGCAACTGCGTACGCCAGGTTCGCGTCGTGTCGACCGGCGGCGACCCCAGCCGGGGCGTTTCAGATTGAACGCCGCCTGTGGTCCAAAATCGGCCCATCCTTGAACAATCCGGCCTTTTTGAGAGGGCCGGTCGTTCACGCTTGAACGATCCCCGCGGTGTCAGGAGCCAAGGCCGGGGTCGACACGACGCGAACCTGCCGTAGAACTCCTGCTCCGCTGCCTTGCCATCGCTCGGACGTATGTTCCCCGTGCATTTTTAGGTTTCGTGCGTGTTTTTTCCAGATGGTCGAGGATGATCCTCGAGGATCCTCGCCGAGAAAAGATGCACTCGTCCGAGCGATGCCAAGCTCCCCCTCGAGGAGCCTCGTTGTTGCGCGCCAAGCTCCACAGGGCCGCCGCGGCCTCCTCCTGCAGTTCTGGGACCTGCCGAGGGCCGCCCCCGCTCCGCCGATCCCGCCGCGCCAGTGCGTCAGCACCTCCCCTCTCCACGCCCCATCCTCCTCCTCCTCCTCCCTCCCTCCCTCCCTCCCTCCCTCCCTCCCGCCTCCCGCCGCCCTCCCTCCCCCTCCCCTCCCTCCCTCCCTCCCTACTCCTCCGCCTCCTCCTCCCCTCCTCCCTCCGCCCTCAGCACCTCCCCTCCTCGCCCCATCCTCCTCCTCCTCCCTCCCTCCCTCCCTCCCTCCTCCCCTCCCCTCCTCCTCCCCTCCTCCTCCTCCTCCCTCATCCTCCTCCTCCTCTCCTCCTCCCTCCTCCTCTCCTCCTCTCTCCCCTCCTCCCTCTCCTCCTACCTCTCCTCTCCTCCTCCTCCTCCTCCTCCCCTCCTCCTCCTCCTCCTCCCTCTCCTCCTCCTCCCCTCCCCTCCCCCTCCTCCCTCCCTCCTCCTACCCTCCTCCCCTCCTCCCTCCTCCCTCCTCCCCCTCCTACCCCAAGAGTTCGCCCTCCCTCCTCCTCTCCTCTCCCCCCTCCTCCTCCTCCCTCCCCCTCCGCCTCCTCCTCCTCGCGATCCCCCTCCTCCTCCTGCCTCCCCTCCCCCTCCTCCTCCTCCTCCCCCTCCTCCTCGTCCTCCTCCTCCCCGGTCCCGACGGCAGCCGTTCGTGCAGCGTCGCAAGAAGATCGATGCGAACTCGCTCATGGATCGGTCCGCTGCGGGCGCCTGCCAGGAGTGGCAGGCCAGCAAGGTAAGGGCGCAGCGTCTGCAGGATGCCGACGCGCTGCGAGCGACCCCGCCATGTGTAATCGAGTTGCTGCCGTGGACTCTGAACTAGCAATTGATTGGTCAGCCATCGGCGCAACGCTCGAAGATCGTTCATCGGGCCGTTCCTCATGCTTCTTCTTCTCCTCATACTCTCGCTATCCAGTTGCTCCACATCAATTGTCCTCCTCTCTCCTGGTTGTCGTCCTCCCCTCCGCCACTCTCCTCCTTCTCCATTTCCCCCAATTCTGCCACGAAAGGTTCCCCCTCCTTCTCCTCCTGCCTATCCTAATCGTGCTCCTCCTTGGAGACGACCGGGGAGGCCCACTTGCTCACGCGCGCCTGGCGAAACATATCTCTATATACATATATATATATATATATATATATATGCGTTGGTCTTTGGTTCACCATTCTGCATTGGAGAACGGTTCCCGTGCTGTTTGCGGCTGGCTTATGTCGTGGCATGGCTTCCGTGTTGAGTATTCCTCTGAATCGGACAGGGGCCATCTCGAACCATCGGGCCCATCGTTTTGAACTTCTGGCGATAGAGGCACCCTGCAACTCCCGTAGAACAACTTCTTGCGAGTCGCGAAGGGGCCCCACCACCGCATGCGCGGCCGTACCTGTGGGGAAGCGGTCGCGTCATCACGAGTAGGGCAGGACGAGCTGCGCCAACCTGAACTGTCCGAGGTGCGCGCGGATTTCTGGGATCGGCGCTGGACCCCCCTCCCTGGCGCGCGGAGGGCGCCACGCAAGGGCGGCGCACGAGGCGCCGCCAGGGGGTCCAACGCCGATCCAGGGAATCCGCGCAGAACTCTGAACGTTTATGTTTATGCCGTTTTACAGAGGAGGCCAGTCCACAAGAAACCTTGCACAAGAAACCCGACCCTGAGACCCCGAGACGTCCATGGATGTTTGGTGTGGGAAGGTCACGTTTCCCATAGCAAAACCATCGAAGCCCAAGACACCCACGGCACCCTGGAGGCAAGCAGGGTGTCCCCCTGAAAGAAGCCTGCATCACCACCACTGCGCCGAGCATCCAGAGGGACGCGTGGGCAGAAGCGTGCGACGAAGCCTGCACGGGGGTCGAATTGTTGGAAATGTCTGCAGCAGTGTAAGACCCCTGCCGTGGTGGGTCAGATACCCAGAGGGACAAGGCTCGCATGCGGTACCAGGCACAGCAAGCGCGACCACGGCCGAGGGGAACGGCAGGACCTAGGACAGAAGCACATCCTTCAAGAACATGACATCCTCTGCTGAACATTCGAGAATACCCTCCCGCAGGACACACGGGACCTGCGGGACCTCTGGACCCGAAGGATGCCTGCGGCCAAGTGAACCCGAACGGGTGTGTGGGAGGCAGAGGGGGTGGGCCTTCTCAGAAAGCACGAAAGGCCTCCAATCTTCTGAGAAGCTTCCTAAGCCCTCTCAGAGGCCACAGCCGGGGCGACGTAAAGATGGGGTCGGGGCAGAGGTGGGGTTGGGAGGAACATCTGTCCAAACGGTTCCTGGAAGAAGGACATGTAAGCATAGAGCTGGGTTCGCTCCCTAACCCCACCTTGGGAGAGAACCGCCCCCTCCACGAACCCCCGATTCAGAGGGCTCCTCAGAACGCTGGAGGGTTTCTGAGAAGCCCTGCCGCCTTCTGAGAAGGACCGCTCCCTCTCACCTCCCCCCTCGGCGAACCGCCGTGATTGGGGATCGTTGGTTTCGAGTCATGGCCCGGGGTCTGCGGCGGCCGTTCGGGACGATCCAGGCCCCCCCACAGCGCCCTCGGCGAGGCGCAGCTGGTAGAGGCTGAGCGGCATCCCGACGCTGGAGGCACTCTGGGAACCGACGAGAACACCAGAACACGCAGGGAGGCTAGGCTGCGACATCCGAACCCTGCCCCGGAACGAGAACCATCGGCTCCCATGAATCGATTGGGAGGAAAACATAGGGTTCGGATTTCGCCACGTGTTCGACGAACTCCGAATCCCACCCCCGCCGCCCACCTAGTTGCCTGAATCCTTGATCCGCGAGGGTGGGGTTCGGACTCCGCCACCGCAAGACGTCCTTCACTTCCCTAGAGGCCTCTTAGCTGGGGTCTCAGTAGATGGGGTCGGAGGATCGCGCTGCATGGCCGATACGTCGGGGATGCATCGGCGATACACCGGCGATGCATCGTCGACGTGGGCGATGCATCGGCAACGTGGACGTGAAGCAAATCGGGCTCCACATCGAGCCGCATCGGCGATACATCGGCGATGCCGCGCGATCCTCCGACCCCGTCCTAGGTTCCCTCGGCGCGCAGAACGGAATCCCAAGATTCCCCTTTGTGGAATCGAGCTTCTGGGTTTTGGTCTACGCCCCCCACTTCCCGTGTCCTCCCATATTTTCCCGGAGATCGACGATTCATTACGCCTGCGTTTCCCCCCCCCCTCCCGAAGAATGGAACCCCGCCGCAGCCCAACACTAGAGGCCTCCTAGATGGGGTCCGAGTAGATGGGGTCGAAGGATCGCGCCGCATCGCCAATGCATCGCCGATGTATCGCCGATGCATTGGCGATACATCGGCGATGCACCAGCGATGTCGGCGATGCATGGGAGGCGCCAGCGCGGAGACAGTCGGGCTCCGCATCGAGTCGCATCGCCGATGCATCGGCGATGCGGCGCGATCCTTCGACCCCATCAACTCCGGTCCCATCTGGGCGGCCTAGAAACACGGCGAGAGCCCTGCTCGCACGGCGGCCTCCGCCTCGAGCAGCGCCAGCAGCGGCGCCGCGGCGCCCGCCCGCGCGACGAAGTCCGCCACGGCGGCCTCTCGCCGCCGCTCTCTCTCTCGGAGGGGCCGCTGGCGCTTGGGAGCCGCACGGTCATTGGTAGTCCCCAAACGTGGTGGTGACAGCACCTGGCGGTGAATCTCGGGCGATTTGGTGTCACCACCCGGTTTGGGGACTCGTGCGGTTTTCCGAGGATGTTCCGGACACTGGTGGGTCCAGGAGTCACAAAACCCGGTGGTGACCCCGCGTCCCCAAACCCAGCGGTGACCTTTTTGGGGATTCCAGGTCGCCACCTGGTATCTCACCACCTGGTTTGGGGGTTCCCGAGGTCAGACGAGGCCGAAACAGGGACGAAAACCGACCGGGGAACACAGGACCGCCCTCGCTCTGTTCTCACGGGTGGGGCAGAGCCGCAGCGCGGAGGACGCGGCGATCGCGGCGGCCGCGATTCGGGGCAGGGCTTGCCGTCAAGGAGTGGCACTCCCCTTGCCAGCGCCCCCCGGGCTCAGCGACAAAGAGGTGTACACGTATGATCGCCATGCGCAACCGTATCTTTTGGGTTAGGGCCGATCATCAAGCCACCAACTCGTGTGTGTGTGTGGGGGGGGGGCAACTCGTGGGAGGTCTTCGCCAGAAATATTAAAGGCTATCAAGCCCGATTGAAGGGCCACTGAGCCAGATCAGGCCAGGTCAAGCCCAGGATCCAGACGGACCGACATAGAAATACGTCAAAATCATCTCGGGATTAAGTAAGCCGTATGAGACGGGACTGAAACGGACTCGGCACGAGGAGGAGGAGGAGGAGGAGGAGGAGGAGGAGGAGGAGGAGGAGGAGGAGGAGGAGGAGGAGGAGGAGGAGGAGAGGGAGGAGGAGAGGGAGGAGCGGGAGGAGAGGGAGGAGAGGGAGGGATATCCCAGAGTTTGACCTCCCAGGAGCTGCATCCAACTGGGGGGGAGGCGGCCTCCCCGGGTGCAGCGCGCCTGCACGCCCGCTGCTCGAGCGCAGGCGCAAAACAAAATCCGACGGCCCGGCCCCCGCGGCCGGCAGGACGCGGAGAGGCACGGCCTCCCACGCGGTGCCCTCCCGACCACTCCTCCCCCGGGCGGCGCGCCCACAGGCCTCACAGATGGGGTCGGAGCGGACGGGGTCGGAGGATCGCGCCGCATCGTCGCTGCATCGGCGATGCATCGGCGACGTCGGCGTGGAGAACATCGGGATCCGCATCGATCCGCACCGCCGATGCATCGGCGATGTGGCGCGAGCCTCCGACCCCGTCTGCTCCGACCCCATCCAGGAAGGAGGAGGAGGAGGAGGCGGAGGAGGAGGGGGAGGAGGAGGAGGGGGAGAGGGAGGGGGAGGCGAGGGAGGAAGGGAGGGAAGAGAGGGAGGAGAAGGAGGAGCCGGAGGAGGAGGGAGAAGGAGGAGGGAGGAGGAGGAGGAGGAGGAGGAGGAGGAGGAGGAGGAGGAGGAGGAGGAGGAGGAGGAGGAGGCCTCGAGTCTCCCACGGTGCCCTCCCGGCCCTGCTCCCCGGGGCGGCGCGCAGGCCACCACGGCCCGCCTGCCGCCAAGCCCCCCCCCCAGTCTCGCGACACGCCTGCCCACGACGTGAGCAGCCACCGCCGGGCCTGCCACCGAGGTCTCTCCGTCGTCGTGCCCGCTGGGCGCCCGAGTTATCCAGGGTAACTCGGGCCCGGGGTAACTCGGGTTTGGATTCCCGAAAAAGGAACCCGAGTTGGCCCTGACCCGAGTTACCCCTGATGATGTGGGGCTCTGGACGCACGAACTATCCGGGGTAATTAACTCGGGTCCGGGGTAAGGCGGTTCGGATTCCCGCAAAACGAAACCGAGTTAGCCCTGACCCGAGTTACCCCTGATGATTCGGGGCTCTGACAGTCGTCGTGCCCGTGCCCCCCCGCAGCGACGCGGACGCCCGTGCTGACATCCTTTAGCAGGGACCGACCGTCCCGGCATTCCTGCAGGCCTAGTCGACGACATGCTCCTAGAGCCGAGGCATGCTCCGAGAACCCAAACCATGTTCTCAGAACATGAGCCCGATGCGCTTAAGCAAGACAGTCTCAGCCAGAGCTGTTCTGACAGCATCTCGTGCAGACCACTCACGGCTCTTCGAACATTCTTTGGTGGGCCTATGGGCAAGCCAGGGCGCTTCGCCAGTGCTCGACATCCTGGGCCCCCACATCACCAGCTCCGACTCCGACTTCCGCAGGCCCCGAACTGTCTGCAGGCTATTTTCGACCTGTACGCTGGCCTGGAGGTCGATTATGGGCGCATGGGCAAGCCAGGGCGCTTCGCCAGTGCTCGACATCCTGGGCCCTCACATCACCAGCTCCGACTCCGACTTCCGCAGGCCCCGAACTGTCTGCAGGCTATTTTCGACCCGTACGCTGGCCTGGAGGTCGATTATGGGCGTATGGGCAAGCCAGGGCGCTTCGCCAGTGCTCGACATCCTGGGCCCCCACATCACCAGTTCCGACTCCGACTTCCGCAGGCCCCGAACTGTCTGCAGGCTGCTTTCGACCCGTACACCCTGCGAAATGCTTTAGAAATCATGGGTTAAGAAATTCATAGCCTCAGAATTTGAATAAAAAACCCAGAATGTCTATTCAAATCTTGGGATTCACATTGAAACATTAAGAATCATCGAGACTCTGGCCGAAAACTTGGATGTTCTTAAGCATCGCCTCGAGTGTACGCTGGCCCGGAGGCCGACTATCGGAGGATGGCTCTCCGCTCTCCCCCGCCCAGCCCAACTCCGCTCAACGGTCCCCTCCTGGAGCCTGTCAGGCGCAACATTTCCGCCGCGGATCCGGCCACGAGGACGAAAAGCCCCCATGATACCCACAGGAGAAACGCGCAAGAAAGCCACTGGTTGTCTCGACTGGCCCTCCCTCGAGATGAGAATGCCCGCCATGGGTATGGAAATACATTGTACAATGTCCAACAACAAATGTTGTCCCAAACATCCAGCGGCCGCTGTTGGGCAGGCGGTTTTCTGTCTCAACTGGACAACGTCCGCAGCGACGCCGACAGCGAGCCCTTTTCAAAATGGACAGGAACTGCTGTTAGTCTTCGTACCCATCCTTTGCGTACCCACCTCTATCGCCCCGATCCGAGAGTGATGTGCGGCGGGACGCCGGCGTGTGCCCTGCGAGAGAGACGACGACGAAAGGGCAGCGCCGCGCCTGGCCGTCGCCCTCGTCGTCCGCCAGGTTACGGAGCAGCCCGGCGGCCTCCAGCTGCGCCTCGAGGCCTCCGGAGGCACGCAGGGGGCGGGGACCCTCCTGGGCTGTCCTCGAGGCCCACAGTCGGACTTTATTGGAGAAGGCACGCGAGAGGACACAAGACCCTTCCGAGAGCCACATTGTCATAGGAATGTAGAAGGCACGGATCTCTAAAGACAGGACATTGGGGCACCCTTGACTTGGCAAGGTCGACCTACGAAACAAGACCGACTGTATTGGGCATTCCTGAAGCAGATTCGGGGTCTTCCCGGGGCTCTCTCAGGCTGTCTTGGGCCGGTCAGGGGGGCCTCTGGTTCCAGTCTTGGGGGCCGCATTGGCCATCTCCGGCTCTCAGTGTGACACGAAAGTACACACGAAACCATGTACGTAACTTGAGGAAAATCAGCGTGCAGTTTTGGTTTCCAGAGGCCCTCTTGGGGGTCCTTTTGGGTTGTCGAAGGTACGTTTAGGACAATGCTGAGACTATCTTCGCCCGCCCTGGGGCCCTTCTGGGCCGCGTCGGAAGCATTTTGGATTGTCTTGGAGCCACCCTGGACCGTCCTAGGGCCACATTGGGTCGTCTTGGAACCAGCCACCACATGGACCACTAGGTGTAACACGGACGTAATGTGGATGTTGGGGAAGTGGCCCGGAGCCCAGGGGCCAAGATACTGACTGTATACCCCATACAAGCGCACATACGTCAGCCAGCGAAGACCCCCAAACAGCTGCTTCTACCAATCTAAGCTGCGCCATTTCCGTCGAACAATATATGAGGTGCAATTGATTTTCACAGACGAACTGACACATCCCACCTTCTTGCGCAAATCCCACCACCCAACCGCAACGTGGTTTGCAAAAACCACGCGGTGGCGACTGAGATGCATGCTTGGCGTTGGCTGGTGCATCTCTGCGGCCGCGCCAACCTTAGCACGCGCGCGCATCGGCCAGCTAGTTTGGCGCCACCGACGCGGCCGCGGTGGCGCTGACCGCTGGGAGCATCCCAGCGGGCATTTCACTGCGAGTCGGCGATTTGGACGGGCGCGGTATCATGGCAACGCCGAAAACGGTAGACACGATGATGATAGTAGCGATGCTGGTCACGATGTTCGCACCGACGAAAGCGCTGTCAATGCGGGCGCCGGTGCTGATCACGCCGACGACGATGACGGCGTCCTCGCGTCGGTGAAGGGTTTTGAGAAGAGTTCGGCCTGCGCGCGCGGCCGACGTGCGAGAGTGGCCCGCATGATTTTATGTCACACGGATCGCGCCCCCCCAAACGCGCGCAAGGGCGTGCGAATGTCGGCATGCGAGGCCAGAGGCCCGCTCATTTGGCAGAATTCCAAGACCATGTTGAACAACCGATGGTTTTATCAAGGGTTCGCAAAAGCGCGGGCGCATGTATTCATATATATATATATATATATATATGTGTGTGTGTGTGTTGCCAAACTGTGTGTGGTCGATTGTTGCTTTGGACATTCGGATTTGAAATCGCAACGAAAGCGAAGGTTTATGAAGGATTTCGGCATGCTCGCGCGATGACGCGCGCGTGTGTGCTTCGTTTCGTCTGTTGTAAAGGATTCTCGCGACGGCACGCACGCAAGGGCGTTCGAACGATTTCGACATGCGCGCGCGACGCCCGTTTGGTAGTATTTGCTAGAATTGCTGAAACAAAAACGTGGTGTGTGTAAACATTTGCCAGACCACGCGCACGTTTTGTTTGAACACACGTGTTGCGAAATCATCTTTTCTTGTTATTGATATGTTTGTTGGACACCTTCCGAAACGTATGTTTTTTTTTCCCAACCCTCCTTGGTTGGGTACTCGTTTTGAATAGAGCACTGCGGTCGCGTCTTCCCTTCTCCTCCTCCCCGCCCCCCTCCTCTCCTCCCTTCTCCCGATCTGTGAAACTGTCGCCACTTTCGAGGGCTGCTGGGGGGCCCAGCACAGTGACGTCCTACGGGGACTCATATTAGACCTCGCCATCGCTGGGGGGCTGCGATCCGTGAATCTGTCGCCACTTTCGAGGGCTGCTGGGGGGCCCAACACAGTGACGTCTTACGGGGACTCAGATTAGACCTCGCCGTCGCTGTGGGGCTGCGATCCGTGAAACTGTCGCCTGCTGAGGGGCCCAGCACAGTGACGTCTTACGGGGACTCAGATTAGACCTCGCCGTCCCTGGGGGGCTGCGATCTGTGAAACTGTCGCCGCTTTCGAGGGCTGCTGGGGGGCCCAGCACAGTGACGTCTTACGGGGACTCATATTCGACCTCGCCATCGCTGGGGGGCTGCGATCCGTGAAACTGTCGCCACTTTCGAGGGCTGCTGGGGGGGGCAGCGGAGTGACGTCCTACGGGGACTCAGATTAGACCTCGCCATCGCTGGGGGGCTGCGATCCGTGAAACTGTCGCCACTTTCGAGGGCTGCTCGGGGGCTGCGTTGGGTACTCGTTTTGAATAGAGCACTGCGGTCGCGTCTTCCGTCCTCCTCCTTCCCGCCCCCCTCCTCTCCTCCCTTCTCCCGATCTGTGAAACTGTCGCCACTTTCGAGGGCTGCTGGGGGGCCCAGCACAGTGACGTCTTACGGGGGCTCAGATTAGACCTCGCCATCGCTGGGGGGCTGCGATCCGTGAAACTGTCGCCACTTTCGCCATCCCTGGGGGGCTGCGATCTGTGAAACTGTCGCCACTTTCGAGGGCTGCTGGGGGGCCCAGCACAGTGACGTCTTACGGGGACTCAGATTAGACCTCGCCATCGCCGTGGGGCTGCGATCCGTGAAACTGTCGCCACTTTCGAGGGCTGCTGAGAGGCCCAGCATAGTGACGTTTTACGGTGACTCAGGTTAGACCTCGCCACCCCTGGGGGGCTGCGATCTGAAACTGTCGCCACTTTCGAGGGCTGCTGGGGGGCCCAGCACAGTGGCGTCTTACGGGGACTCAGATTAGACCTCGCCGTCCCTGGGGGGCTGCGATCTGTGAAACTGTCGCCACTTTCGTGGGCTGCTGGGGGGCCCAGCACAGTGACGTCTTACGGGGACTCAGATTAGACCTCGCCGTCCCTGGGGGGCTGCGATCTGTGAAACTGTCGCCACTTTCGAGGGCTGCTGGAGGGGGGCAGCGGAGCGACGTCTTACGGGTGCTCAGATTATACATAGCCATGCTTGGGGGGCTGCGATCTGTGAAACTGTCGTTACTTTCAAGACTGCTGGGGGGCCCAGCACAGTCTGCACCCGCGGCGGACTCAAATGGGACCTCGCCATCCCTGGGGGGCTGCGATCTGCGAAACTGTCGCCACTTTCGAGGTCTGCCGGCGGGACCCAGCGCAATCTGCACCCGCTGCGGATTCAAATTAAACCTCGCCGTCCCTGGGGGCTGCGATCCGTGAAACTGTCGCCACTTTCGAGGCCTGCCCCGCACAGTCTGCACCCGCGGCGGATTCAAATTAGACCTCGCCATCCCTGGGGGGCTGCGATCTGCGAAACTGTCGCCACTTTCGATGGCTGCTGGGGGGCCCAACGCAGTCTGCACCCACGGCGGACTCAAATGAGACCTCGCCATCCCTGGGGGGCTGCGATCTGTGAAACTGTCGCCACTTTCGAGGCCTGCTGGGGGGGCCCAGCACAGTCTGCATCCGCGGCGGACTCAAATGGGACCTCGCCATCCCTGGGGGGCTGCGATCTGTGAAACTGTCGCCATTTTCGAGGCCTGCTGGGGGGCCCAGCACAATCTGCACCCGCGGCTGACTCAAATGTGACCTCGCCATCCCTGGGGGGCTGCGATCTGTGAAACTGTCGCCACTTTCGAAGCCTGCTGGGGGGCCCAGCACAGTCTGCACCCGCGGCGGACTCAAATGGGACCTCGCCATCCCTGGGGGGCTGCAATCTGCAGACTGTCGCCACTTTCGAGACCTGCTGGGGGGCCCAGCACAGTCAGCACCCGCGGCGGATTCAAATTAGACCTCGCCGTCCCTGGGGGGCTGCGATCTGTGAAACTGTCGCCACTTTCGAGGCCTGCTGGCGGGGCCCAGCACAGTGACGCCTCCCAAGTAGCTTACACATCAAGTTGATTGTGCATACAAGTTTCGGCCAACTCCTCGTTTCCATTGATACAAATGGGTTGGGTACGTCACAAGGTAATTTTTGTTGGAAGATTCTGGCATGCGCGCGCGACGACGCGCGCGTGTGCACTTCGTCTTGCTTTGTTTGCAAAGGATTCTTGAACACTCGTGAATGTTGATAGACGGGTGTGCACGCATAGAGTTTGTTCCAGAGGATGAGGGGGGGCGATACCGGCCTGCCTGGGATGGTCTGGCTTCGTATTCAAGATAAACGATGGGGCAGAATCGTATGAACATTGCGATCCGAAAATGGGGCGTCGATGGTCCCGGCCCAGAAGGGGGGTGGAGTCTTTTTTTATTCCCAACCCTCCTTGGTTGGGTATTCGTTTTGAATAGAGCAGTGTGGTCTCCACTCCTTCCTTCCTTCCTTCCTCCTCCCCCCTCCCTCCCCGCCTCTTCCTGTCTTGCTGCGGGGGGCTGCGATCTGTGAAACTGTCGCCATTTTCGAAGCCTGCTAGGGGGCCCAGCAAAGTGAGGGCCCCGCGCAGATTCAAATTAGACCTCGCCATCCCTGGGGGGCTGCGATCTGTGAAACTGTCGCCATTTTCGAGGCCTGCTGGGGGGCCCAGCAAAGTGAGGGCCCCGCGCAGATTCAAATTAGACCTCGCCCTCCCTGGGGGGGCTGCGATCTGTGAAACTGTCGCCATTTTCGAGGCCTGCTGGGGGGCCCGACAACGTGAGGGCCCCGCGCAGATTCAAACTAGACCTCGCCATCCCTGGGGGGGCTGCGATCTGTGAAACTGTCGCCATTTTCGAGGCCTGCTGGGGGGCCCAGCAACGTGAGGGCCCCGCGCAGATTCAAATTAGACCTCGCCATCCCTGGGGGGGCTGCGATCTGTGAAACTGTCGCCATTTTCGAGGCCTGCTGGGGGGCCCAGCAAAGTGAGGGCCCCGCGCACATTCAAATGAGAC